AAAATTTTAAAAGGTAAACGTCCATATCCTAACTATAGATTCCGCTGCATTAGGATTTATTTCGATAAAGTTCAATACTGTGCATGTTGTTTGACGTTCCTAACAGAACCTAACAGTTGTTGTTTGACCACGAGAAGTTGGGGTGATTTCGCCATCCAGGATTGTATGTGTTGGAGTACGGATCATTGACAGGTTGGTTTTGGTAGCCTTGGAGAGCATTGGCATCAATATGTGGCTCTCCGAAGTCATGGTCGAAAGCGGATGGGCACACTTTGGAACGGTGCCCATGTACTCCACATGTTCCGCATGATTCAATTGTCATGGCTTGTACCGATTGGACACTTCTTGCATTAAGTAACCTCATTTGTTCCGTAAGCTCGGCGATTTGATGAGCTATCATATCTTGTCCGGGTGATATCTCGTGAACCATTGCCTTCTTTCCTTGGCTACTCTTTTGAGACGAGTTTGTACTCATCGTCTCAAAAATCTCCATCATTTCTTCAGCCGTTTTTGCTCCTATGTCGCCACCGGCCGCATTATCCACCATGTATTGAAAGTTTTGATGGAGAGAGTCGTAGAAGCTATTCATCAACAAAGCGGGTGGAAAATTGTGGTGTGGGCATTGCCGTTGAAGATCTTTGAAGTGTTCCCACGCCTCATGTAGTGGCTCATTTGGTGGTTGGGCGAAAGAGACAATTTGAGATCGGAGCTCTTGTGTCTTTTGATGAGAATAGTATCTCCCGATAAATTTCGAATCCACTTGCTCCCAAGTAGTGAGGGAGTCGGGAGCAAGCGTCATAAACCAAGCCTTAGCCCGGTCTTTAATTGTTTCGAGAAAACACCTCATCTTCAATTGGTCTTCGTTGAGCCCATGGAGTGGGAAAGTTTGTAGAACATTATAGAACTCACGGATAAAATGGTGTGGATCTTCGTTTGGAAGCCCGTGGAATGATGGAAGTTGATTGTAGTGAATGGTTTTGAGCTCGTAGTTCCGAGCCGCTGGTCCCAATCGGATTCATGAAGTCACCGGCCCAATAAGGTATCGCGGAGGGTTGTTCACTTCCTCTTCATCGTTACGTGCCATCTTGCTTTGGTCGTTGGAATTTGAGGGTTCGAGAGAGAGATTGGCGAACAAGTCTCGTAAAGCCTCGTCAATGGATTTGTCCTTCGGAATCAGCACACGACCACTCCTAGTACGCATACAAAAACAAAAGTTTGTTACGAGCACCTGCTAACGAAGAAGAGTGAACTACAAATACTTCAAAAATACTAAAAATAAAACAAGAGAAACAAGGAGAAACACACAAAAAAAAAACAACAAATCACAAGAACAAAGAGAATACGAAAAATGAGTGAATAAACGCACGAAATAATTCCTAAACCTTCCCCGGCAACGGCGCCATTTTGTTTTGCAATATTTTTGGGCAAGAAGTAACTGAGTTACCCGACTCGGGTCATTCTCAAAGGAAGATTAGCCGGACTAAATTGAATGTTTATTCAATTTACAAAAGAGAAAATAATCCTAAACATTCCAATTCAATTTGATGATTGGATTTTTAAACTAAATTCTACAACTTTTAACAATAATAAAATAACTAAAATTACAATAATATCCCAAACTATTATTAATGCTATCGTTTTACTCGTAAAACTTTCAAACGAAAAATTTGTTTTACTAGTAAAAACTTTTGAACGATAAAATTGTTTTACTCGTAAGAACTTTCAAACAAAAAGGTCGTTTTACTCGTAAAACTTTCAAATGAAAAATTCGTTTTACTCGTAAAAATTTTCAAACGAATAAAATGGAAATATAATTTATAATGAATTTAAAAGTTTAGGGTATTGGGGATAATCAAT